AGGGTTCTGCAAAACTCAGAGCCAGGGAGGAAACAGCAGGGAAGGGAGTGGTAACAACCAGGAGCAGCGTGGAGCAGTTCTCTCGAAGTCTCACATCAGAAACCACATCAGATTCATCAGGATCTGCTACCTGTTGCAGACAGCTCCACCACAGCCAGCTGAGCTACGGCAGACACGCTGGGTGCCCTTGGGTGATATTTTCCCACATCTTGTTAAGCACAACAATTAAGCCAACAGACATTTTCTATTTGGTTTTGTGATTAATATTTAGCAGTTTCCCAGCAGCCCCCACAAAGGGGTGCAACTTTCTGTCTTGCACAGAACCATTTCATTGAATGACCTGCCAAGTTCAAGCCTTGATGCCTCTCCTCCTTGAGCAGCAAAGCTCCTTCCCTGAGCAAATCAGTATCCTAGAAAATTACTCAGCATGGATAATTTCCCAACATTTTCTGAACAATGTGGAAAGAGAGCAAGAGGTAGGAAAAGAAAATAGACACAAAAGAAGGGATGCAGCTACTGCAATGGAAGAAGTCAAAGGAAGCTAATGGACAATGACAAATTAACCTAAACTTTATGAAAATGGGAAAGAACACATTCGTTTTCTTTGGCCCTAGTCTGCAAATCTTTTTAGTGTTTTTATATGCTAAAACCATCAAAACTCTGGTTTTATTATCAATTTAGACATCAACTAAGAGTCCCAGAAGTCAAGGAATCACCCCTTTGCCACTAAGCAGCCAGATGCACCATACGGAGAGCCCCAACTCCAGGATCACCAAGGATCATGTCACCTGCCAGTCACACGACACAAGATGCTACTGCCTCACAGCAGTCTCCTGCCAACACCAGCCAGAGGGATCACACAGGGACCTGTGTTTTGCCAGGATTAAGGAAAACTGCAGGAAGCAATATAAAATTCAATAGCCAGTCAACACAATGTGCAATTTTCTGCAAGACTACCAACACTGGACCATAGGTGGTTGCATCTGCATAATTAAAACTGGTTTGTTCTGCTGCATTAAAGCCACAAATCAGGCATGTGACCATAATGAGAGAGAGACATTTATTTAGATTTCTGGCCCGATAGACCAATTAAAAGTGTACATCTGAAAACACGCACTTTAAATTGTGCATCCAAGGATCTGCTGTGCTGTATATTCTGCAGGCAGCTGTCATGTGGCAGTTGTAAATCTGCAGCCATATCTCCATTGGTGTTTATTTTTAACACCACCACTCCTGTCTGCAAAGCTAAGGCAAATAAGAAAACCTGCCTCTTAAAAGTAATCTCAAATATTTTCTTTCCGGTACTATCCAGCAAGCATCTCCTGCCAGTGCTGGGGCCAGCTCTCCCCTTTCTGACAGCTGGAGGGTACAAAGCAGCAGCAGAAGAGAAGGACAGAGCCTGGATAACTGACAGGAGGGACCGCACCGTGGGAAGGAGCCTGCCAGCACAGCGTGTGTGCAGGAGAGCTGAGAGAGAGCTCTCCGTGCACGGGCAGACAGCAAACTCTGCAGAGCTGCAGGAGCAGCGCCTGCAGCAGCCATCCCGTACTCCCACTCCCAAAAGCACAGTGGCACTGACCCAGAGCCTCGCGCACCCTGCAGCGCTGGCAGCAGCCCCCAGCCCTCCCCGGGACACCAGAACAGCGTGTGCAGCAGGGCACTCGAGCAGACCCACACGCACCTCACACGCCCCCGCTATCTCTCCAAGCATTTTCAGGACAGCTCCTTCCCACCGTGAGAGGAGCAGACACAATTCTCCTGGAAAGGAAGGGAGATACAGAGACATCGTGGCCAATAAATCACCCTGTGCATGAAGATAATTCCCCAGTTCAACCCTCCTCCTTCCAATCTCACTCCCCACGGGGCGCGTGGGCTCCTCGATTGCCGTACCCGAGGCTGCAGCTCCCGCAGCTCGGGCAGGGCTGGCTCCCACCCCGCAGTGCTGACAGGCCATCCCTGAACCACCCCAGCCTTTGCTCCAGTTCCCAACAGCCAGAGCAAGAGGCTTCAGTGAAACTTCCCTGAAATCAGCCTCAGTAACTTTTTTCCCCCCTCCATGTCATTCCAGGTGTCAACTCCTCTCTCTGGAACGGAGGCTTTACGTACCTGAGGCACTGCTGGAAGAACATTCCCTCACCCAGCGCTGCCTGGCACCTCACAACAGCAGCGTCCTGCCCACCCCTAATCCCCTCTGACCTCGTCTTCAAATGCATTTCCAGAGCAGCCTTGCTGGGGTTACTGCTCTTCCACCCATGCTGACATCTGCCCTGGAGTTCTCATGCAGGGTTTTCCACCTTTCTACCTTCCATTTTCCTGTCTGTGCCTTGGGGACAAGCACTGTGCCGTGTTCGGATTCCAGGCCCATCCTCCCTACTATGAGATCACTGCTTCAAATTTTCATCTATTATCATCTTCATATTTCAGTATCAACGCTTCGGTTGTTAGTCCCCCTTGCCACCACTTCCCCTCCTCTTTATCCCTATTTCTCTTTCATTTTCGTTCTCAGGAGGTTTGGGCATCTGTCTTCACAAGAGCAGCGAAGGATTAGATATGAATAGCGTAATGACTCAATCCTTGAAGGAAATAAACAGGATATCTGGGATAATGAGGTAGCCTACATCCAATCCTTCAGTCAAGCCAGGAGAGACCAGACTCTGCACAAGTGGCCGTCGGTGTCCATGGTCACTGTCACAGCCTCAGCGAAGGTTTAGATGATCACAAACCCTGGCCCATGTCGGGCTGGCACACTCAATACACAACTGAGCACAGAAAAGCCCTGCTCCTTTTGCAGTGCATCCTCGACCACCAGCCCTCCTTGGGCCCCTACAGATGCAGGACCAACTGCTGTCCTGCCTGCCCAGCCAAGTTTGCTTACACTGCTCCTATTTAGTGAGGAAGCACAGAGCTCTGCACCAATCCCTCTGAACTCAGATGTTATCCTCCTCTAACAGTTTAGCAAGGTGGGAAGATCACAGCCACCCTGGTCCCCACAGAGAGGTGACAGCAAGTGATGGCTATCCAGTCACAGCTGTGAGCCCTGGAGGCCCACAGCTCACCATGGTCACCCCAAGACCACCCTCATCCTGTAACAGACCCTGGGTGTCCAGGGATGGAGCCACCCTCAAAGGCAGCGGGTGGGCAGCACACACGGGCACTGGGCTCTGACTCTGCCCGCCTCAACCCAGCTACAGGCACAGTCACCACCCTGTCAACATAAGAATTAGCCTTTATTCAGGTGAAAACACATACCATTCCTATACCAGGAATCAGACATTCCTGGAGGTGTAACTATGCATAGAACAGTATCAAGGAAATTATTACTGGCCCATCAGCAAACTGTCTGCATTACAGCTGCCCAAAACGTGATCACTGTGGTGTAATGTAACACCCTCACACACACTCCAGCATTAACTGCCTCACATATGGAAACCATGAGGCTACAGAAGCCAGGCCAAGAATGTTCATGGCCCTTGAGTACTCCAGTTACAAACAACAATCAGAAAAAACACTGGAGACATCCACAGCAAAGCTTTTTCAACAGCTCAGAAGCAGTCCTGCCCCCAGTGACCCCCCTACACCCCAAGCACTTGAGAAGCAGGAATCACCCAGCCCAGGGCATCATCTGAATAACGTGAAACCATGGGACAGCCTCTGGGAACAAATGCAAATCCCCTCCCATGAAACGAACAATACCACAGACTAAAAGAATATTTCATCTGCTTAACTGCAGGGTGCAATAACATCAATTTTCCCAAATTACACACAAGCAGAAAGGTAATTGGCACGGAGCAGGGTGTGTTGTGACTGTTCCGTCACTCTTCGAGGCCAGTTACAAAAGACTGAAATTCACTAAAGTAAACAATGGCACGAAACCAACAGCCAGCCCCTTCCCCAGAATCCCTCCCCCTGGCCTCGAGCTGCCGCAGCCAGGCAGAGACTTTTCCAAGCACAGTCTGTGCAGACCAGCCATCACCCAGCTGAGCTGGGATCTGGAGAAAAATGGAAGCTCTTGAGTTTGTACAAGCACAAGTTAATCTGCAGAAACGCTATTTTACACTTTTAATTAACCATGTCCTGGACTAAAATATAATGAAGTGGTGAACACATAGCCATATAAAACAACTGAATGAAGGGAGAGTGGAGCTGGTTTTATATAATAGTGGGGAGACTGAAGGAGGAAATGCAAGGAAAAGGCATGAAGTAAGCAGCTGAGAGTATCCTCCGTGGGAACTGAATGCAAGTTCCGATTGCATTGAAGGTGGGAAGAGTCATCAGCTAACAGAATTAGCAATTCTTGCAATAAGGAGTAGATGTATTAAGCTATCCAGAAATGACCATAATACAGTTTGGTACCAACACGAAAATCCCTGGGTGTGCAATAGACAGAAGGTTGCACCGGCTCATTTCCCTCTGCCACCAACCCGCTCAGCCTTTCCCTGGGCGGCAGAGCTGCCATGTGTCACAGGGTACCAACTTTCCTTCCAAACAAGAATTAACTCGGAGCCTTGGATTCGATACTCAGCGGTCTCAACAGACAAAACCTCTAGTTTTATTCTCTCCAACACTCAGGAACGCAGCCACTGCCGCACAGCTCCGCACCCCGCACCACTACCGGCACTTGCATAATAATGACTGCGGGCCTGCAGGCGAGGGGCCGGAGCACGAAGGCGAACTTCCTTACATAAGGACCGCAGGATGGATGCGCTCCCCACCGGGAGGCCGCGGGCAGCGCTCCCGACCCCGCACGGCCCCGGGGCTCCCGCAGCCACCGCTGCCCGGGTGGGCGCAGGGCGCTGCCCCGGGGGCGGCCCCGAACAATCCGCGCCCATCTCCGCGTCCCCGCAGGGCGATGGCAGCGCCCGGCGGGCAGGGCAGCGCTGCCGCAGCGCGGGAGGGGCGGGGGGCGGCGGCGCAGCCCCCGCGGCCGGAGCCGGCCCGTCCCCGCCCCGCCCCGCACACAAAGGCGGCCCCGCCGCGCCCGCACCGGCCCCGCTCCGCACCTTTGACCTGCGCCTCGTAGTCGGCGATGATCTCTTTGTCCTTCTTGAACTTGCCCTGCGCTGACATCGTGCGGGATGGCGCGGGCCCCGCCGGCACCGCCGCCCGCCGCGCTCCGCCGCCGCCTCACCCGGCCGCGGCCCCGCCGCCGCCAGCGGCCGCCGTCATTGGCGGCGCCGGGGACAGCGCGGGGACAGCGCGGGGACAGCGCTCCGGGAGCCGAACCGAGCCGAGCCGAGCGCAGCCGCTCCCGCCGCCGGCCGAGGCGGGGCCCTGGCGCCGCTCCTGCGCTCAGGTTGCGCGCGGGGCGGGCGCTCCCGGACCCGCCCCGAAGCCCCGGACCCGCCCCGGAGCCCCGGGCCCGCCCCGGAGCCGCAGGGCTCGGTTCGGCCGCGCCCCCGGCCCGGGCGGCCCCGCCGTGCCCCGGTACCGCCGGTGGCGCCGGGTGCGGCTCGCCCCGTTTGCCGCCCGCTGCGGGATCTGCCGCTCCCCCGCCCGGAGCCGCCCCTCCGCAGCCCGCGGCTCCGGCACCATCGCCGCTGGGACAGCGCGGGTGCGCTGGAGCAGATTGGTCACTTCATGTTAAAATTGAGGAAAAAAGGAGAAAGCGTTAGTTGCAGCAGAAGCAGCATCAGTGGTTAAGGCACTTTATCGGGGGCTCTAGCTGAGCGCTCGGGACCCAGTCCATGAGAGCTCACGCACTCGCCAGCAGTGTATGCAATGGCACATCCGAGCCCTCCGACTCGGCCTCCGCAGATCTACAATCAGCTGAGTGGGTCCTCTGTCTGGCCCCGGCTACGCTCCCATCACTGCCACACACAATGGGGTCTTTTATGGGTGTCTTGTGAGGACTGAATTCAGGAAGATTTGATGACTCACAGTTACTCTGCCAACTTTAAAAAATAACCCCAGCCCATTATACAAATAATTTACCTAGTGCAAGCAGGCCGCACAGAGGAGCATTCTGCATCTCAGTGGCTGTGGAAAAGGCCTGGGGAGAAGGGAGAAAAAGCGAACCCTTCCAGGGAAATGCAGCCACTGCAGAACGTGAGGCCCAGGCTCAGGGATGAGCATTGTTACTCAACTCCAGCTGGACCAAGGGGCTCAGAGTCTCAGGGAAAGCACAAACTGTGCCAGACCCCCTCTGGACACAGGGAGAGGCAGAGGACAGGAACCACAGGGAAGGCACAATGGCTGTGGGCATGGGGCAGTGTTTGGGGCAGGGCAGGAGCAGCTGGAGATCGTGTACCAGACCTAGGGTGGGTTTCTGCATCCCCTGCCAGGGTATCTGGGAAGGGGATGGGCTGGGGTGCTGTGTGTGACTGCCCTAAGCTGTACTTGGATCAGGGCTGGAAAGGCAACACCAAGGAGAGTCAATAGGTATCAAAGAATGATCCTCCAGGAACATCAGGTCTCTGGAGAGGGTGCCACTGGGGAGTGAAATGATTGATATACACCAATGGTGGATCATCTCCCAAAGCAAGGAAAAGCCAATTTACACAATGACCAGAAAAGTCCAGGGATAATGATATTGTGTTCCTTCACAGCCAAGAACACTCTGGAGGGACCTTAGGTTCTGAGCTCATTCTCCACAAAGAAAAACAAACTAAACTAAGCAAGGGAAGAGAAGCACAGGCCATTTGATAAAGGATTCATCCTAGTGGCAGTCACTTCTCCTTGCAACACCCACAGGGATTCAGAGAGTAAGGACCAGCATTCCTGATAACCACCTGTGACATCAAACAGATTTTGATTTTCTTGCCAAATTGGTTCAAGCCTGTGAGGTCACCTCTGAGGTCAAAGCTGAATGTCTGAGGGTGTTAAGCATCTTTTCTTAGAGTGGTGAAAGAAAAATACCAGTCATGAAATGATCCAACAGCACCAGGGAATCCTGCTGCTCAGATATCATGAAGAATAAAGACGCAGTGATGGCTGAAGAAAAATAATCCAATCATGAATTAATGATCTTTAATAAATATCAATGTCTAAAATGCTTTGTGGAATTTCTACTTGAAACAGCTTCTTAAAATAAAGGATTACATTGTAATTCACTTTGTGACACTTTCAACTCAGAATTTTTTAATGAAGAATGGGACAGGATGGGATTTACTCATAATAAACACTTCAAGCAGCTTGAGGTATAGAGAAACCAACAGTAGCTATGGCAACGTGGTCACTCCAGTAAGGCTAATGCAGGTTATTTCCAGGGCAGTAGCCTTGTGTGTGCTCAGGAAGCAGAGGTAATGGTGGCTTAAAGCAATTCCTAAATTAAGGAAAATTTTTTAAGCAGAAGCTCTCTTGCATTCTTTATTTCCAGCTTTAAACTGTGTTTTACAATGTGCTGAACATACACACAGCAGCCCCAGTAGAGCACTGACACGCTGCTTCAAGACACACCCACATATGTCAGCCTGAGTCGGGCAGACCCTCTGGTCAAAGATTTACAGGCTGGTTTGGGTTGGATGAGACCTTGAGGCTCACCTCATTCCAACCCCCTGCCATGGGCAGCAACACCTTCTAGTAGACCAGGTTGCTCCAAGCCCTGTCCAGCCTCGCCTTGAATACTTTCAGAGATGGAATATCCATCATACCCACTCTCACACCAGTGAAGCTTTGCCAGAGAAGGCTGCAGCCAGGCCAGAGGCCACCCCAAGCCACAGATGATATGGACACCAAGCTGTTTGTTGAAACCCTTCACAACCTTATGCAAGTGCCAGAGCTGCAGCATTGCCACCAGTTACTCATCCCAGAGTAAGGCAGCTCGTGACATGACCCCAACCCTCCCTTGGTCTTTCTGCCTTCCTGAGGTCTCTGAAAGGCAGAATCCCTTGTGCCATTCCTCGGGTTGATGAAGCTGGGGAAGGGGGATGACTTTGGCTGTTGCTTTGTGGCTACACCCTCTGCAGCCTCTCTGGGAAGTTGCTGTAAATCCCTACTTGGCCATGGAAACTATTCAAGTCCAGGCTCGAGGGTGCCCAGGACATGTGGGCTCTGTCTCAGGCTCATGAGACCTGCAGTAAACCAGCCAGACTGGGAGAGATTGCCCATGCAGGAGAGCACTCAGCTGCTGCAGGGTCAGCTGGGGAATGAAATCTCTATGAGCTGGGGCAGCAGAAGCCAGCCCTGCTGGCTGTCCCTCTGTGGGAATGGCATGGCTCTGATACAGCGTGCTGGACTGCTGGGAAAAGGCTTCCACACACACCTTTCCCAGTGTAAACTAACTGGAGACACGTAACACGGCAGCTGTTGATGCTGCATTACACCACCTTGGTTTTTTTTGAACCTTACATCTTCTTTCCTGCCAGCAAAGTGCTGTTACCTTGTCATATTAACAGAGAACTACTTCTCGCTCTGTTCCCTTTTTTATCTCTGTAGTGAAGTGCAGTTGTAGCTTGGCACTGACAGAACTGTATCGATGAGTCGTGCCCTTGCACCCAAAATAACTGCAGACTAAGATTGTTGGATGTGGAAATGCATGTTTTCAGGTAAAGCATCCCAGAAGTTTGCTTTTGATTTTTATTTCATTCAGGTCTCCAACAACTCAGTTGTGAGTAGAAAGGTATCTTCCAAAAATACTCATGTAGTATCCTCGAGGCCATGAATATTCAGAGAAGAAAAAGAGCATTCTAAAATATATACCCATCTCAATCCCAGCCTTTTCCACTGTTGCCATCTTAGGCCCTTGTGGTACCAGTAGAATTCAGCATTACATTGGTCAATAATTCAAGTCCCTGTAAGAAATGGGAATATTCATATGTGACTAAATGCATGAAGAATTATGATAAACAACTTGGCAAGGCAACAGCAATTCTTCCCAGTAGCTCTAATTCTCCTGTAAAAGGCACTGGAGTGACAAGCTGCTCAGGACCTGCTGTGACTGCACAAGGCTGTGCTCACACTGCACGGTGCTTATCAGTGGTGAAAAGGCTCTTGTGAGCAGTTTCCTGCGGGAGATCTGCTACCTCCGTTTCCTCAGGGAGATTGCCCAGACTCTGAGGTCAAAGCTGCACTTTCATTTCCCTGCTGAAGCAGCAGCTTCAGCTTGTGGTTGAGCAGCCACTGCTTTTGGGAGAGGGCACTCAGCATCCATGCCCAGGCTCTTCAGGAAGGACATCCCCTGCACAGCACTGCCATTTGTGTGTTGATATCCAAGGTGTGCATCTGAAATCCAAGCGGCTGCTGAAGCCTTGCCCAGGGCATGGGTTGGAGCCCTTTGTCTGACACCCCCAAAGAAGTGCTCTCCAGGAAAGCAACAGGAGCTGTTTACTCTGCTGGGCTCTTTCCGTAGCTTTGATCTTGTGCTAAACCCAGGGTGGCCCAGACTCCTCTTGGCCCATCCCTCCTGTGCACACCATGATGAAGCTGAAGCTGCCAGAACCAGATCATTAATTATATTTCCACTGATTCAGAGGAAAGTTAAATACATAATAATTCATGTGCAGCAGTCACTCCCCTTTCTCCATATGTTATTGGTCCTCTCTGCCTCCCTTTTCTTCCATTTTCCCTCATTCTCCTCCCCGCCAGGGTGAGGATGCCGACCCTGGGCTCCTGGGAGCTGTGGCTCCAGCATCCAGCATGATGCCACCATCTTCTCTTCCACCATATGGGCACATTTCTCATCAAGGCAGGGTACAAACCTCTGCCATTTGGTGCAGTTGGATTTGCAGTTTGGCTATGACCTGACCCATGCTTTCCTCTCGTAGGATGGTGCTGCTCTCCCCTGTGCTCCCAGGAGTCCATCCCAGTGCCAGAAGCAGTCAGTTTTGTGTCATCTCAGGCTAACTCCACTGCATTTCTTCCCCTCCTTCCCATTCCCTGCAGCGCTGAGCTCCCTTAGCCCTGTCTGGAGCAGCCCTGTGGGAGCTGGCACACACAGGTGACAGCCCAGCACGAAGTGACAGAGCCCCTGCTCTGGGCTGGGGGCTGTGGCTGTCCCCATGCAGGAGCTCTGGACCTCTGGAGCCAAGGGCTGAGGTTCTCAAGGGGACATGAGGCAGGTCCTTGCCAGGCTCTGCTCCCCCAGACCCTGCTCTGCAGATGTGCGGGTCCGTGGCCTCCTCAGGGTCTGCCCCACAGGAAACGCAAGCTGTGGGGAGGGAGAACTGAAATGCAGCAGGGCT